TGGAAATCGCTATTATTCTCCCATCCAAAGGTTTCCTTGTCTTTCTTTTCTTCATCAGATAATTCTTGAAGAATCCGTGCAAACTCAGCTTGTTGCACATATTTTTTTGCCATGAAAACCGATATAAAATTTACAGAGCCAAATGTATTCAAATTAAAATAATACGCAGCAATAAATAACACAAAATTACAAAATATTTGAGGAAAAAATATTTTCCGAATTTTAAAACACAACCACCCTCGTGTCATAAACTTTATGAAAAAGCTGCCACGTAGCACAAAAGCCCAGTTAAAAAAAAAAAAAAAGTCAAATATGACTTCGTACTGGCACATTGCATGATGTGGGGAAGGGTAGAAAGGAGGAATAGAAATGACCTTCAGACCTCTCAGCTTCAATATGCGAAAAATGTGCATTAAAAACTGAATTTGTCGTAAATTTTGCGCATACGCACGTGTTCGTGACGCCTGAATTACAAGTTTGGCTTATACTAGATAGAAGGATGCCAATTCTATTTACATGATGTGCCTTACAATTTTGGCCTGTTTGCAGAGTGAAGTTTGTCACAGCCTCTTTACGGGGTTTTCGACAAAACGTTTTCCAAGTGTCTTTAGTGTTAGCCCAGGATTTGCCTTGATCAGATTTAAGAGTATCCATTAATTTCTCAAAAATATGCTTTTAAGTGACTCTACAGGAAGTGGTTTGCTGTCTTGTGACTAAGTGTTCCTTAGCTAGTGAGTCTGCCTTTTTATTACCGTCGATACCTACATGTGGAAGGGATCCATTGAAAAATGATTTTTTTGTTTTATTTATCAAGAACGTTCAAGGTTTGTCTTATTTCTGAGATAATCTGAGTATCTGTATCATGATTTATAACTTCAGCCTGGATGGCTGCTTTGGATATACTTGCATCTGTGATATCCTTAATTCACACATACCGTCTGGGTAGTGCTAAATGAATAACAGCTATGGCTAAGGCTGCTCAAAGTAAATCTGTTATTAAAATAATGAATTTGTATGTTTATCACATTGTGAAGAAAACAGCAGTTAAAATCAACAAATTTCGAGTGCACATAATCCTCCACCCAAATATGTACACCTTAAAGTTCAAGTTTTGAATTTTTTTCTATTTATTTCATGTTTTGTGCAAATTTCATTGATTCTTGCTTAACAAATTCAGCCATTTAAGAATAAACTGTTTTCCCTTGGCAAAACATAAGATATTTATATTTGGAATTTTATCAGACAACGCTGTGATTTGAAAGAAATGCTGTGCCACTCAGCAAAGTATTTGATTAACTGAACAATTTAAAAGCAGCATGTTGAACTCAAGCTATAACACTTTTATCTTTCCCATGCTAGTGTGTGTTCATTCAGCAAATTATAAGATATTTAACTTTTAAATTGGATGTGTCTAATGCTGATTAACAAATTAAAGGATTTAAAAGCCATGAACACATTTCCCAACTTTTTAAAGCTGACAGTACAACTGTTGTACCAAGAAAATTATTTCCTTTAATGTTGACTACGATGCAGCTGAAAATCCTCCCCATCAGAGAGTACTTCAAAATTTTTGGGTGATCTGTTACAATCAAATACTTTAGAATGGTTCATTAGCTAATTTTGGATAACAGAAACATTGGTTTTTAAGAGCAAGGGGGACTGCTGTTGAGTCTGGTGTATTGTCTCCTCTTGATAATGCTATATTTGATTTAATTCCTCTTTTGTATTTTCTCTGGTTTTTGTAATTTTTAGGTTTCAGTATTGTATTTCATATTTTTTAATTCTTATTTTACATATTTATAATGTATTTTGAAATTTAGTGGTATCAAATTTTACTTTGTGGGTCTTCGTGAAATTGGTTTTAAATTTTATTTTTTATCTGCCTATATATATATACATATAATAAAAGGAAGAGTCTGTGTGTTTTTTGTCCGTGCTGCATGTAAGCTAACAGACCCAGGGCTATGAAATTTGTTACATAAGTGCATCTAGAAAAGAGCCAGTGTACCTCAAAGCGATTTTTTTCCCCCAAAATTCAAATGATTTTTTTTTTTTAATTTTGTATTTTTTGATGAAATTGCATCAAAATGATAATTCTCTCACATTATATCAGCACTGTTGCCACTTAGAAAAATGAGGGCGAAAATTCTGTGCCATTTTTAAATTTAATGTTTCTTTTTAGAGACTAGATCTTTGTTGAGAAAAGGCAGCGTGAAGTTGGTTAATTTATTTACTAGGATAATTAGTATTTTTATTGCTTATTTCATTGTAATTTTTTATATGTTATAAATTTTATTTATTTATTTTTTAAAGCTGTTCTGCAGAGTATATTTATGTGGGGGGTAATAAAAACAAACGTAGTAGTAAATCACCAGCAGGAATTTTGATGGCGTATCCATAATGAATAGGAAAATCGGAGGCAAAGGTAGCATCTTCATTTTTTATTTCAGCAAACATGTATACAATCAAGTTGGCACATTAATTGTGCCTATTCCAAAAAGCATCCATTTTTGATAAATTTGCAGTAAGAAAAAAGGAGCAGACAGACTGTAGTCCAGCTAGGCCAAAGCATAGAAAGCAAGTGTGTTATGTTCAGGGTGAAATCTTAATTCAGACTGAGTTAGTTTTTAGTCCTCAATGTGTTTTGATTGGATAGTTAATATTGCTGTAAAATTATTATTGGCTGTTTTAGTTCCATTTACATCATCAGAATTACGTAAGAATCATATGGCATAGATTAGTCTCGAAATGATCCAGTGCAAATAGAGGTTACTATTTTTCGAATAGAGAAAAAAAAAAATTATTTTTTTACACTGCTAATTTAATCTTTTACATATTCATTATTTTTATTACATATACAGTGGTGGCCAAAATTGTGGACACTTTTGGAAATTTTTATGTTTTTGAACTTTGTATGCTTATAGAAACCGTTACGTTTCACAAAATGCAAACTTGTATATATCATTTTAAGGAGAATTTATTACTGAATTTAATACAAAACACAAAATTCAATTATTTGCAATACAAAAAGAGTTAAACGATAATAGTTATCTAATGATCGCAGTGAGTTATCAGTACTTAGTAGGGTACCCTTTATTTTTGATTACCACTTCACATCGATGTTTCATTGAGCTGACAAGAGTTTTAAGCTCTTCTTCCATTATTTTATTATGCCAGAAAACAATTATAGCCTCAATTAGTTCATTTTTATTTGATGGGCGCCTCATTCGGACAAGAGTTTTCAAACGGTGCCACAAATTTTCGATAGGATAGAGGTCAGGACTGTTTCCTGGCCATGACAACAATTTAATGCTCTTTGTACGAAACCATTCTTTCGATATTTTGGCCGTGTGGCAAGGAGGAGAATCCTGCTAGAAAAATAAACGAAGCATTGTTGGGAAAGAGATCTCTGATGGAAGGTAGAAGTTTTAATTCTAGAATAGTGTCAATGTATTTTCTGGCATTCAGTGTCCCATCGATGACATGAAGGCGACCAATACCATCTGCTGACATGCATGACCAAATCATAACACTAACTGGGTTCTTCACAGTTGCTTGAATGCAGTCAGGATGTAGCTCTTCTCCTATTCTACGTCTTACATATTTTCGCCCATCACTACCGAATAACGATATCTTAGTTTCATCACTCCATATAACTTGTGACCACTGATCATCTTTCCAGTTAATGTGTTCCTTTTCCCACTGTAGTCTTTTTTTTTTTTTTTTTTTCCGTTGCTGAAAATTAAGATAAGGCTTTTTTCGTGGAATTCTACCTCTCAGTCCAACATCTGTTAATCTTCTCCTGATTGTTCTTGAACTGACAGAAACACCAGCATCATTCAGATCACTTCTGATGACCGCTGATGACATTTTCTATCTTGGAGACATAGTCTTTTATTCTTCTGTCATCAATAGATGTGGTGCACCTTTTTTCGGCCTTTTCCTTCTTTGTTTTTTTTATTGAATTTGTCTCCTGATATCGTAAACAAAACTTTCGGACTTCCAGATGTAGTCACTGAACCACCCACCTGTCTTGCAATTTCAGCATAGGAAAGACCACTTTCTCGTAACACAATAATATTACATCTCTTTTCTAGGTGTCCAATCTACTCTTTTATTTGATGTCATTGCTTCTTGACTAAATATTAAAAATTTTTTACAAAAATTCCTACTTGTAATTGCAGTGTATAAGAAACAGGTCCTCCTTCTACAGAACAAAGCAAAATAATGAATTGTTTCAAGCGTGTAAACATGATGTCAGCTTCTACTGGCAGTTACTAACATTTGATTGGTTCTCAAAACAAGAACAGTGATTGGCCAGGAAAGCTAGACATTACAAACCACTTCATAACTGTGTTTTTTATTTATATTAAAGTATATAACTTTTTTTGTATTGCAAATAATTGAATTTTGTGTTTTGTATTGAATTCAGTAATAAATTCTCTTTAAAATGATATATACAAGTTTGCATTTTGCGAAACGTAACATTTTCTATAAGCATACAAAGTTCAAAAACATAAAAATTTCCAAAAGTGTCCACAATTTTGGCCACCACTGTATATATATTTCTTCAGCACTGTTTTTTAAATAACTATATAAAAAGTTGGAGATTATTTCCTTTTCCTGTTATCTAATCAAGTGAGTCTGGTTATAAAGCTAAACTCGGTATATTATCATAATTTATTTCATAATTTATATCTTCTTTATGCTTTTACTTAAAGGTAAGATTTGTGTTATATACAACTGATGTCATTTGTATCATCATTTTATCATATGTTTATTATTGTACTAAATCAGTGGATAGTGTAATTTAGCCTTTGTGTTTACTATACTAAAATTCATCTTTCGGAAATTCTTTATAATTTGAAACCCTGTGTACTGAATAGGAAAGAAGTATATTGTTATTTATAGATTATGTTACTTGGCATTCATTATTTATAATGAAAAAGTTTTTGAAGAATGTGCATCATTATTTCATGCTGCTGTTTTCTGGTTTGCAGAATGAATGTAATTCCGAGACTTGCACACAGATGACAGCTACAGAGCAGTGGATATTCCTTTGTGCTGCTCATAAAACTCCAAAAGAATGCCCTGCCATTGATTACACACGGCATACATTAGATGGCGCTGCATGCTTACTCAATAGCAACAAATATTTTCCTAGCAGGTAAAAATATTTTAAGAACACTTAGTCTAAAATTTGCTAGATGTTTCAGCATTTAAACTGAAGAAGATAGAGCCATATTAAAGATTTTTTCCCTCCCAAATAACCTGTGGTTTAATGCTGCATGCATGAAACTTGTATCTGGGAAATAAATTTCTGAATTCATTATTTTTACGTACAATGTGCTGAGATCATTTCTTTTTGTTGTTTATTTTTTATTTTTTATTGTTATTATCAATGAAAATGCTGATATTGGAGAAAATTATTATGATCAATTTTAGGATGCAGTAAATTTTTATTTTGTTCAAAGCCAAAAACAGTTTTGCTTAAACAAAGTTTAGTTACTATATAAATTATATCCTCATATTTTTATACTGGTGATTTATCATGTTTAGCTTTATAATATAAAAGTATTATTTATATAATCTTTATAAGAATCTTATCTGTTTCATATTCTGCTCTAAACTCAAAAAGTGCTTTATGGTTGTTACAGCTTATCCATGTTATTAGTAATTAAATACAGTGTATATCAAGTTTTATTTATTTTTCAAAAAAAAAATTATGGATTTGTTAAAAAACTAGTTGTATGATAATTAAGGCAAAATATTTTTTAAAATAACACTAACTGGGTTCTTCACAGTTGCTTGAATGCAGTCAAGATGTAGCTCTTCTCTTATTCTACGTCTTACATATTTTCGCCCATCACTACCGAATAACGATATCTTAGTTTCATCACTCCATATAACTTGTGACCACTGAATATCTGTCCAATTAATGTGTTCCTTTAAACATTTTTAAGAAAAAATTTTTTCAAATTTTTTCTTAAAAATGTTTGCAATTCGATATTAATAATATCAAGCAAATGATTAGAAGTTATATAATATGCACAAAATTTGTGATGTGCATTTTCTCCATTCCAAGACCTACATATTTATAAAAGTGTGTTACTATATATAAAAGAAAATTGTCCTTCAGGCAGACCTAAAAGAACCAGTTTTAGATCAAGTCATCATGTACATGATACTTAATCTGAATTTGTACAGGATTTTATTAATCATGCTAAATTGTTGTGTGCCTTGAAAATATTGGCAAATAAGGTAATGTAATTTTATGTTTTTATAAAAGTTTGATAAAAGAGCATATATTATCTACTCTTCACACCAAAGAATACGTTGTCATGAAAGCATGACGCAACAAAAAGAAATTAAGAACTAATATTTTGCCTTGCTTTTGTGATGGTAATGCACAAAAACGTTTAACTATAAATTTTTGATTTTTCGTAGAAACTCATAAGGGTTCGTACGGTCCTTAATTTTTCAAAAATGATTTTTGGTCCTTAAAAGTCCTTAATTTTGGCCAAAAGGAATAAACGGTCCTTAATTTTGCTCATTTGACATTTCTTATCATTTCTAATGATTGCCATTCTAAGTGTGAATTACGATTTCTCATGAATATGGAATTAAAATTACACAGCTCTTAACTAATCTGTTGGCGGATTTGCATTGCAAACGATTAAAAAAAAAAAAAAAACAATTAGCTACCCGAACGAAAGTATCGGTGTCTGATTGGCTATTCACGCAATCTTTCGAAACAGGTGTTATCCATAAATTTAGGCAGACTGTGACGAAAGCGTGAAGCTGGAAGTTCTTTAAGAGGCGAAAGTGATGATGAAGGTGCTCGAGAAAAAAAAAGGGAGGGGGGAGATTCTGAAAATATTTGCCAAAACTAGAGCAATTCCAACCTGGAAGGCCACAACCCTTCCGACGCCAATAGGAACGAGATGCCTGGAAAGTGCATTTTCAATAAACTGTGGCTTCATCAAGCTGACTACAAAGACTGGATATTGATGGATGGCAATCCTTAAATGTGGTCTTTGTCTGAAACAAATTGAAATTTCTAGAATGGGAGAGTCAGCACTGAAAATTCACATTAAAATTAAGTTTCGTTTTATCATTTCAATTTGTTTTTACACGGTTTTGCTTAGCTTAATTTCTGTGTTTGTTTCAATTAAGCCATAAATTAATTTTTTATCACCTTCTACGGAGTTTATTCTCTTTTGCACATACTATATGTATGGGATATCGGGATTATGAGTTTATTTCTGCAGAGGGTCTGTTATCGATTTCGCGGGAAATCTGTTGGCTCCATTTCGATTTTAGGTCGCCAAGGGCAAAATCGGTAACGCTAGCTGAGAAAAAGTGAAGTTCGGAAATACGTTTTGAAGCTTCAATAGACAATTAAGTATTTGGTTTAAACCTATGTTTTTGATAGTAATGCATAATTTTTGCTAATGGCGATACAATTATTAGTTGAAAATAACTAACTAATTAAAATTTTTTTAAATATTTTTAAAGCTGAAAACAAAAACTAATTGAAACTAATTTTCCTGAATTAACTAGACGCAAAATTAACTTTCATGAATTACTAAAGTTATTGGGTAGAAGTTTAACTGAAAATATACATTCCGTATTATATATATATATATATATATATTTATACAGTGTACAAAGTCCGAGGTCTGGACTCGTCGGGACTTCGGCGATCCTAGATTTGAGATTTTTCCGGATATTAGATCATTTTAAATCTACTAAGATGGCACGTAGAAATTATAAAATTGAAAATATGAAATCGTGATTTATGAAATAATGAAGCATTTATGATTTAAAGGGTATCAAAATTTACCAAAGAAAAGAGCTTAATATTTATATGTTTACTTTAATAAACATTTCTTTCAATGTGAGTTGTTTGATTTGTTTTCTCTGCTAATACTTTAGACTAATACTATAGACATATAATTTCTTGTTCAGTTATTAAGTTCCATTGTTCAAGTCCTGTAATTGCTGTGTCGAGAATTCCGAATAACTTGTCAATCAAAATTTTTTCTCGTTCAGTAACCTCTCTGTTACTTTCTTCACTATCGGTAGCTGTATTTTCTGGATTTAGAACCATACTACAGATTCCGCCCTCCGTTAATTGATTGATGATTGGGCATTGTCATTGCAATGAAAAACTTCTGTTTAACTTCGCTAAATTCTGCCGCCTGGTGCGGCCATGCGAGCTCTGGAGCTGGTTCTGGCTTTATGTGAATAACAAATCAGTTATTCTTAATTCAAATAGCACTAAATATAATCGTTTGTCCTATGAGTATCATTAACAAAATCTATTTTTAGCATAAGGAAAGAAATTTCTGCTAAATCTCCCCTTGTCAACATTTTAGCGCATTAAATTTAAATCTGTAATCGTATAATACTCTGTTATTTGGCATCGCTGCATGATTCATCACTCAAGTTGTCATTCGTTGATAAACATGCGGTGATGAAAGCAAAATACAATAAATAATGATTCGCGATTTCGGCATCAAGGATATAAAATATTAGTTGGTGTAAAATTAACAAATGTTTCGGTTTGAGATTATGCCAAGCAGATACGCAGCTATGGAGTCAAGTTACTAATCACACAAATTTATGCTAAAATAATTATTTCTTCAATAATGAGATATTTTATTTAGCACCAAACTAAGATTAAGAATCGGATTTCTGGCATTTTTTTTATGATGAGGGAAAAAAATCTAATGCGTAAAGCATACCCCTTCCCTTCAAAAAAGCCCTAAAAAATTGGTTGGTGGTGGCTTTGAGGTCCAGATTTTAGATCATTCCAGATATTAGATGTCCGGATCTCGGACTTTATATCTAGTATATATATATATATATATATATATATAATAAGTAATATTTACACTATTCAAGTATTCACTGTGACAAGTATTCTTATCTTGTCACATGAACAGGCCTCTGTGGAAAGGGGCTTCTCTGTAAATAAAGCAATTGAATTTGAAAATTTAAGTGACTCATCATACATTTTTCAACGCACAGTATTTGATTACATAAAATTTTCTGGAGGTGTTCTTAATATCGAAATTAATAAAGAAATGAGATCAGCAGCAGCTTCTGCAAGAAGTGGAGTTCGTTATTTAGAAGTTCAGTATTTAGAAGAACAAAAATCTTTAACTAAATCTGAAAATTCAAAGAGGAAAAGAAATATTATTGAAGAAGAAATTGATTATATGAAGCAGAAGAAAAACTTTCCTCAAAGGGACATTAAAGACATTAATGAAGAAGTAGATGCTTTAGCAGATAAAGCTGAGACCATCAGGAACATTGATTTGTTTATCAAAGCAAATGAACTTAGAAGAATAGTTAAAGAAAAGGAAGATTTCAGATTTAAAAAGCTGAAAGATTTCAGATTTAAAAAAAGCACAAATGTTTTGTATCTTTTATTGTACAGTTTATTATTCTAGTATCTTTCAAAAAACCAAGGAAATAAATTGTATGTTTACAAATCAGTTATTTTAATCTGCAAAATATTCTTACATTGTGATTATAATAGTAGTTGACTATGTTTAAATAAATATCAAATAAGTTAAATAATAATCATGTAAATCTCTAAAATAGTGACTGTTATTAGTGTAAAATACACTTATACATGTTTTTCAAGAAATTATGTTCCTCATTTAATGTTATCTACTTCATAACTTGTAGGGAGTTAGTTTAATTTTCAAAATTGTTTTATGGTAAGTATTAAGTTGAATTTAATAATAGTGCATAATACACACTTCTGTTAGTTTTTTAAAGTGAAATTACAAGCATGAAGTCGGTTGTATGGATAATTGCTTTATTCTATTCATTTTTTTGTTTGCTGATAGGTCCTTAATTTTTTCTTTGAGGTCCTTAGGAAGGAATGGGGAAATGTGTACGGAATAAGAAAATTTAATGCCGCGTACAACAATTTTTGCGCCTGCCTCTGCGAGGGGCGGCGGATATTGGGCCTTATGTTACACAGTATCTAAATATCTAATTATCTATTTCAGTTAATGTTGATGATTGCGTTGTTCCTTAATCTTCGAATTGGATGCGGCTTATTACGTTTTGTAGACTGTAAGAGCAATTTTATAAAAGTAAACTTGAACTTTCGATTATGTCAAATAGAATTTCTGATGCTGGAGCTCCCAAAAGATCTACAAAACGAAAGTACGTTTCGATTTCCATCAAACAAAAAGTGGAATTGCTGCAAAAAATGGATAAAGACATGAGGAAGGTGACAGAGAGGTTAGTGAAAACGAAAAAATTTCGATTGACAAGTTAGTCAGTATTCTCGGCACAGCAATTACGGGACTTGAACAGCGGAACTTTGTAACTGAACAAGAAATTTTGTCTGTTTATAGAATTAAAGAGAAAGTATTAGTACATAAAATGAAGCAACTTAAACAACTTACATTGAAAGAAATGTTTAATAAAGTAAACAAATAAATATTAAGCTTTTTCTTTTTGTAAATTTTGATACCCTTTAGATCATAATTGTTCTTTATTTCATAAATTACGGTTTCATATTTTTAATTTTGTAATTTCTGCATGCCATTTTACCAGATTTAAACTGATGATCTATAATCCGGAATCGAAGTCCCGACGAGTCCGGATTAACGACTTTTGACTGTACATGTTTAGCAGCATATTTTTTTTTTATTTAGGGGCAGTGTCTTAACAGACAGGACACTCATAGCCAAAGATTAACAACTATTTCTCCTAGAAAATTTATTTATTTATTTATTTTTGTGTGTGTCATTCTAACTAAAGTTTTTTAAAACCCTTTCGTGGGCCGTGGGAAGATTACTTCCCACCTACATGATCTTGGGAAATACACCTGTGGGAAGCGCAAACCCCACTATAATATATTGGCTTTGGTATTATAACGTTGGGAACTCTAATTCCCACTTCAGTGTTTGTGCTGCCATCTGTGTTCAATCGATTGAAAACAGAATTACCACATTTGTTTTGAAAGTTCGAATGCGTTGTGCGAGATCTGTTCCACTGAGACACCTGTTTTGATTTGACATTTGCAATTGCTATACAATTCTGCTACAAATGTAAGTAAAACACTGTTTTTTTTATTATAATAACGTTCTCTTATTTTGTATATTTCTGCAAGAACTATCTAATATTGAATAATAAATAATGGGTGGATGGAAAGTGAAAATGCTATTGCATTGTGTATAAAAAGCCACGTGCAATAGGTATGTTGGAAAAATTAGAATATTTTTGAAAATACATTTAAAAATATCATTCAATTCTACTGAGAAAGAAAAAGGATTATTTTGGCATGATTTTTACCGAGGAAATTTTACAGAATATTGAATAATATTGAATATATAATTTTACAGAATTGAATATATAATTTTACAGAATATTACAGAATATTGACGAAGCTCATATGCAAAGCAGCCTAAGAAGAGGAAGAGATTGGGTCATACCACAAAAGACATTATCCTGAACTGGAAAGAAATCACATCAGAAAAATTGAAAGCATGGGTAGGTATGCTTATACTCATGGGGTAAACATCTATTGCCTGAACTGAAAAACTGCTGCAGCACAGACCCTATTCTCAATGTTCAATCAGTAGCAAGAATAATAACCGCAAAGAGGTTCAAAAAGTAACTGGGATTTTACATGTAAACGATAACAGCACAAATCCATGTGGGCAACTTGGGCATGATAAACTCGATAAAGTCAGACCAATCCTCTGACAGCTCAATGATTCCATACCTAAAGTCTACGAACCTTCGTCAATATTATGAATAGATGTTTATGATAGCTTTCAAAGGGAGAACTTCATTGAAGCAGTGTATGCCAATGAAGCCTATAAAAAGAGGTTACAAGGTGTGGTGTTTAGCAGACTCTAAGACTGGATATATTCAAAAATTTGAAATTTATTGTGGAAAAGAAACTTTTGATAATAAGGGTAAAATATTGAGCTTAGGGGAACAAACTAACCTAATGGAAGATGTGAAACAGACAGGTCATCTTATAGCCTGTGATAACTATTTGACATCTTTTAGGCTCACAAAAAGTCTACTTATAAGTGGTCTGTTTTCTGTGGGGATTGTGAGGCTGCAAAGGAAGGATCTTCCACCAATGCTGAAGGCTAATAACAAACTACAAAGGGAGGAATCAATGTTCCTAACTAAGGAAGGTGTTGCTGCAATAAAGTGGATGGACAAAAAGGCTGTTACATTGTTGACTACTTGCACACAATTCAGCGATTATTGCATCTGTAAATAGTACACAAAAGGATGGTACTAAAACAGAAATACCTTGCCCTAAAGCTGTTGCAGTATATAACGATATCATGGGAGGGGTTGATTGCTTCGATCAAAGAAAAGAAAGATACCAAATAGGAAGAAGATCTGTAGAATGGTGACATCATATTTTTGATTTTCTTATTAATCTTGGCAACGTAAATAGTTTTATACTGTGGCAAGTAAACAAGAGAAACAGAAGTTTAGACCAGCTAACATTCCGTATAGCATTAGCTCGTCAACTAATAGACAGATATTCCTCGAAAAAGGAAAGGCCGTCCTGCTAGCTTCCAAGCAAAAAGGTGTGCAGTTCCGGACGATATACGCTTATCCAATGTGGGAAATCATATGCCAAAGATGGTTTCCAACTATAGACAATGTAAGAAATGTAGCACAAAGGCCCAAGAAAAGAGGACCCACTATATGTGTGCAGTATGTGATGTACCCTTGTGCATTGCAACATGTTTCTCATCTTTTCACAGCAAATAATCGCCTTTAAATTGAATTCTCTCTATGACCATAAAAGATCCCGTGGGAAGTATACTTCCCACCTCTAGAATTTAAATGTAAACAAAAAATTTGGCAAAATAAAATATATTTCCTTAAATGCTATTGTTTAGTTGATAATAAAACATAAAAAAAGGGAGAAATTCAAAAGAGAAATAAATGGCCCACGAAAGAGTTAATGAATATTTTGTAAATGTGAAGATTTCTAAGATTTCTGTACTAGCCTAGTATTTAAATCAGACGTATGTTAATTTCATATAAGGCCACTACTGTGGTTTAAATCAATGAAGTTACATAAGAGTGACTTTGTGTTTTTAATATTTTTCCATGCATGTTACATAGATGTGATTCCCTGAGAAAATCTTTTATAAAATAGTCCTGTTGTGTATTGTTAATTCAGAATAAAATATTTGTTTGTAATTTGAATAATTTATGTTACAGATTTAGGGGAGAAATTTTTACATTGTAATATTTATGTATTTTTTTATTCTGTACTTACAGAGTGAGCATAAAGGAATCATCTGTAGCAAAATTAGGTTCAGTGTGTAGAAGAGTATACAGAATATTTTCTCATGCATATTTTCATCATAGAGCTGTATTTGATGAATTTGAAGTAAGTTTTTAAAGTTATAAATTATATTTTAAATTCTTTCTGTGTTAAATCATTTTTTTTTCTCTTCTAGTCTTTTTTATCTGAATGTGTTTTATTATTATTTGTTTTACTTTAAAGATTAATTATTTTGTATATTCTTGCAAAATTATTCCTCTGCTGTTACATTTGTTCTGTACTATAGTGCATGCTGAAATCATTTTCTGCCTATTGCTTTAAAAATGTTAAGGACTAAATAAATGGAATTGTTATTAATAAGTTCAGGTACAGAAATCATAAATTAATTTAGGATGTTGGGTTGTCTCACTACTTTATCTGTGATATTAAATAATGAAGTATCCACAAGTATGTGTTTCTTATACAGTCAAAAGTCGTTAATTTGGACCTCAAAGCTTTAAACTTTCTGTGTGCGCATGCCTAAAATACGTTTACGCATGCGCGTTTAATGTATAACGGACGGTATAAGCTAAGCTAAAATTATCTAATTCAGTTAATGTTGCAGATTGCGTTGTTCCTTAATCTTCGAATTGGATCCGGCTTATTATTTTTTGCAGACTCTTAGAGCAGTTTTATAAAAGTAAGCTTGAATTTTCGATTATGTCAAATAGAATTTCTGATATATATTTACTAATATGTAAAGGATCTACAAAGCGAAAGTATGTTTTGAAGTCCATTAAACAATTTTATAATTTCTGCATGCCATCTTACCAGATTTAAACTGATAATCTATAATCAGGAAAAATCAATAATCCGGAATCGCCGAAGTCCCAACGAGTCCGGATTAACGACTTTCGACTGTATTGTGGAAAAAATGGCAGACCTTAGAACCACCATATTTTGAACACACATAGTCCTTCTTCTACCTGAATATATGTACTTCAAAGCCCAAATTTTGAATTTCTAATTTGTTTTTTTATTTATTTCATATTTTGTGCAAAATTAATGCAATTTTGTTTTACAAATTCGTTTATGTTTCAAACTTAGTCAGAAATCTGAGCAGTTTAAAGGAAATGTTACTTGGTAAAGTGTAACATATTTATTTGGTTCTTTTCCTTTTCGGCGGCACAAATCTTGCCAAGCAGACTTTATTGGTGACAACATACATTATACACATAAAAAGTATTAAAAAATGTTAGTTCTAAGAATTTTTTATTTTGAAGGCATAAACATTTTAATATTTTTTTTAATTTTGTAAAAAGCCAATAAATTTGTAAAAAGACATTAATTTAAGAATTTACTATGCTTTCATGGTTCAACATCCTGATTCGGCGGTTCATAACACATCACCTCAAGTGATCTCATCTCATGTAAACTACAATACAAAAATCTAATTATTTACATTAATTTCAAGTTAAATGCAAGAATTATTTTAATTCGTACAAATAGCTTACTCAGAACTTATGTAAAACTGCAGTGCTTTACTTCTCTAGTGCATTCTCATTAGAATTGATGAATTTAACCCTTTACCTTTTCTATATTTTTGGGTAAGTGGTGTGATTGCATCCTCATTGACTTAATTACCGCGAATTGACTTAATTACCTTAGAGCATGAAATTGAGCTATCTGGTAAAAATTCTATGTAATTGTATGCCATTATTAAAATAAACAATCAATCTGATAAGAAATAGCTGCGATTTGTTTTGAAAATGAGGCGTAAAAGATTGCCATCGAGTATATTCTATTTGCATCAGTTGTACCATTATTGGCGACTTTAATCGCCTGCGCCGGAAAAACAGAAAAGTACCATTTATTTTTATATTTGATCAATAAACTCAGCAGAGTAAATGAAATGTTGCCACTGGCCTAAATAAATATTATAAACATTGATGTGCCAAATATAGCCCTTCAGCAAGGCTTAATTTTTCTTTCAGATTTAATCTGTCTGTTATTTATTAACAAACTTAAGAAATTTAAAAACAATAAACCCAGTTCTGGACTTAGAAATTACTCTAGCTAAGCTCATTAAAATCATTATATGTTTTTCTTTATAGTAACTATTTTAGGCACCGGGGTAGTATCTTGAAAAAAAAAATAATAGTAATAATAATTGGAAGGAAGATGACCGTGAGCTGCTTGAAATGGAAGCTGTTATTGAAATGGTTTTATGTTGTTTGCAGTAGAGTTTTTATTTTGGTTTCATTCTTGTGCTTACTTTACACAAAATTAATTATACTTATTAATTTTCATTTAAAACCATGTATTTTTACTAACCTTATATGCCTAATTCTCCTTTGTCTGTGCTTTTGTATATAAATTTAATCATTTTTAATTGCTTACTGTGCTTTTGTATATAAATTAAAACATTTTTTATTGCTTGATAAATATTCATTGTCATAGTTGCCTTTCATATACTGTTAGACAAATTTGCATAAATAACAGAAAAATATAAGCACTAAGCCAAATATCTGTTATCTTTTTTAAAATGTTATTTTCAAGAAATAATGCATTCATTCCACTGAATATAAAATTTGTGGCCTTGTTAAAAAATATTTACCTTTTCTTCTTGTGTAGCAAAAGTACTGTTATGTATTTAGAATTAATGCCAGTATGACTGACATAACATAGAAAATTGTATTTGTATTCTTCCAATGTAAATTAGCTTCTCTAATGCTAAATCCCACATATTTTTAAAAAAGTTTAGTCATTCATTGTCCTTCTTTATAGTTTTAATATATTTCTGAACTCTTTTAAACTATTATCTCAGTTGTAATATGTCTCCAAATCATTACTAGTGACTTAAGTTATACAAATGAGATGCATTTTTGGGAAGGAGAGGGTTTATATTTTTTTAATTGTTGACAGATTTAATATGGATAATGAAAAAATACTATTTAATGTTTCCTTTTTTTCTTTAATCAAAGTAAAACCTCTATATTGTATGTTAGTAATTATTTAATTTTCATAATTATTGTCAGTTAATTATTTACTTATTATATCTTTAATAATAATACTGATTAATAATTTTTTCTAGAATGAAACATTTCTGTGCCGTCGGTTCACAGTTTTTGTTACTAAGTACAACTTGATGTCAAAGGATAATCTCATTGTACCAATGTTAGGAGAAGAATCAAATACAACTGAAAGTGAAGCATAAAGGACAGCTAGAAATATTTTAGTCTCATATCAGATACATGTATCATATGCCTAAGATGAAAGTGAGTCAATGGTAATGTGAAAGATCTTGGAACTGAACATATGATTTAAACTGTATGACTAATAATTTTTTCTCCAGTAACTGATTAGGAGTGGCACATTTAATGAAAATTCTAAATAAGAAAAGGCCAGAATGAGAAATCTAACTATGCATTAAATAAAGCTGCAATAATTGAAAACATTTTTACGATAAGTGTAACAAAATAAAGTAATTTAATAATTTTTATGTCCTGTCCTGTTTGAAAATATGTCATATGAACTTGTGAAGTAAAAATAGGTATATTTCTTACATTTCTGTTTCATGTAACTGCCTCATATTGAAAAATGCATCAGCTCAAATATTTTCTTTTATTATCATTATTTGTAAATGAAATCAATTTTAAAATGTTGCTTTTTAAACTTATCTTTTTTACATTGGCAGTTTGTAGTAAAATGTCTTATGCCATAGTCAGTTGTGGAACACCTCTTTTATTAAAAAACATTCACAATGACATTAGATATTAATAATTCTGTGAATAAATTGATGTAATATATATATATATATATCAATTTATATATATATATATATTATATATCAATTTATTCACAAATAATATATTTATTATGAATAAATTTCAGTGAAAAAAGAAAGATTTTCAGAAAATGAATATGAATAAATTTCAGTGGATACAAATGCCACAATACTGCTGCAATTTATGCTGTATTTACTCCTGTGATTTCACCTTCTTTTTTTTAATTTATTTTATCTCTTGGAAATCTAAGGGGAAAATTGATTGGTGTACCATTTCTGAGAGAACTTGTAAATTAAAAAAACATGTGTAGAGATTATTAATGATGCTACTATTGTTCACACACACACACACACACACACATATATATATATATATCATAGCTGCCAATTCTCTCATTTTTCATGTTATCTACCAGTCTCCCAATAGCTTGCCAAATCTCCTGGCTTTTAAAGTTTAACCTTTGTTAAGGAAAATGTTTCATGACAGCTCCCATGAATTTTTGCTTGCATTTTAAAAGGCAAGAATACTAACATTTTCAAATGTAATGGGCTAAAGTGAGGTACAGTGCAAAAAGGTGAAAAAAGTTAGATGGCTTTGAAAGCAAAATTGCTTCTATACTGCTCACACGATTGGTAGCTGTAGTTTGAACTACATCTTGTTAGTGGTGTGGCGTGATCTGAAGCGAGAAGTTGCTATTTATTAATTTGCATTTAATGTAGACATTACTAAACCAGATTTTTAATAATTTTATTCATTTTATAAAAATGATGCACCTGAAAGCAATTCCACATTGCCTGTAAATAATTGTTATAAAAGTCATTTTCTTAGTTACTTTTATCATCATGGCCCACAGTCTAACATGTGAGATAAAACTAAACTACCATTTGCTACACAGTATGCATGCATATGTGCTATGCTATATATATCTTTTATTTGGGAATTTTTATATGAATTATTAAAACTGTTACTTTCTACAGGTTCAAAACAATGTTATTATCAACATTTGTAATAAAGGCAACATTTCCTATGGCTGATGCAGGAAAATATATTTAATAGTAAATCATAAAAAATCAGCTTGCATCATAGAGGACCAAGTTATATCCCCAACCCATAAGACACAGGCTCATTTCAGAGTTAAAAAAAATACGACTTAAGGGCCAGGAAATATGGTGGTGTGTGTATTTAATTGTGTTTACTTCAGCGTGGAATATATAGCTAGTTTAATATATGCCCAAATATTTATGTACATTATTATTTTCATCATATGTAAGAGTACTTTGATAAACAAAACTCTCCTTCACTACTGAGGATTTTCTCAGTGTAAAAGCATAAGAAAATTTTTAAAAAATAAATTAGCCAAAGAACAAAAAATTGAGAATAGCCAATTAAATGTTAATGTATTTTAAATCGGAAATGAATTATAAATACAGTGTACTCACTGCCAACTGCGGGCATCCCCCCCCATGCGCACTCATTGCTATGTATAGGAGTGTCCAAAAATTAACATATAAGTCTGAACATGTAGAAGATTTCTTCCTAATACAGAAGTCATAGGTGTATCTAATTTTGAAGTCAAGGCCATAACTGAAGTGTATGCCAAAAAAAATCAAAAATGTAAAATTTCTCCAATATGTTGATCAGGAAAACACTTAAGTAATGATTGAAGAAGATAATGACCAAGACCAGCAATAACTTCTGTCAAAACTCTATTGGACTTGATCAACTAAAGGGGATTTGAATGCAGTGATAAAATAGCACTTTCAAAAATATGCAGTGAAATTCACCAAATATTTAAACATTGTCAAAAACAATTTTTTTTTTGAACACAATAGGCATGAAAATTGATAATTTAAATTATCCATGTTTTTCAGCTATCCTTTGATCTCCTTTTCCAGCTTTAGCCTCTCAATAATTGAGCAAACTGTTTTATTCCATAGCCTGAACTGTGCATTATAAAATGAATTTTGGAGTCATTTTGAAGTTCTTTTGAAATAGTATTGTCACATAGCTTGAAAACCTCTTGGTTTTGAAGATTTCAAGGCATCTATGATATATATATGTATATTTAAATTCTCTGTGTTGCTTCTCATCCTTTAGACTACAGATAAAAGCAAAATTTCTTGTTTAGCTATATAATCTTGTTAATCTAGAATTGTATTACTGGTAAAAAGCATGTAACAGTAAATTTTAAAAGGCTGTAAGGAAAAGAATAGTCTGTATTTTCAGTGCATATAATATCCGAATGTAAAACTATTTTATTATCTTGAGGTTGACCTAAGAAGAAAGAATGAAATGACATTTGACAATCAGAATTATTTAATGCTTTGAGATGAGAAAAACCTACTTTCATTGAATATGAAAATGTATTCTGCAGTCTTCAAAGTTCTCGGAGACTAAATATCTATGCATGTCCCGATGCAGAACATAAATTCATGCCCTCTTTTCTTTCCATTTCCCTTTAGTTGCGAAGAGGAAAATTTTAATGTCTTTGGGATAGGATTTTTAAGATTTGAATGATCTTGTAATTCATGCCCAAAGAATATCGGTCCAAGAAAAATCCAAGAATGATCAGTCTTGTAGAATAGTTCCAGTTTGATCCAAAAGATGCTGAATCATACTTTAAAAATACTAAGGGGGTGGAATACACAAGTAAATACTGTAATTTTAGTATTATTACTTTCATAAGTAATTTAGTGTATCTTTAAAGTGGAATATTGAACATATTTTAATTTAAAACTTATTTTAATATCATATTTTGCTTTGAGAAAAATAGAATAAGAGTTTTATCATGGGATTTGAAAAAATTTGTCAGTGCCTGTGCCACTTTTTGTGTAATTTGATATTGTCTTACAGTAATAATAAAACAAAACTGAGCCTTTCATGAAGTCTGTAACTTAAGAAAAAAAAAAATCATGCCTGATTTTACATTTAATATGGTTTTGCCATGACATTTAAATGAGGATCAAAATATTGCATTATCATAATGTTTGCATTTTGTGTACTTTTCTACTTATTGTACAACTGAAAAATGAAGGCAAAGGTTTTAATGCACATTTCTGAAAATATATTGTGAAAATTCCATTTGCTAAAATGTAATTTACAGAAGTATGCTGTGTATGCTTTCTTTTGTGCTTTTATTTGCATGTCTGTTTGTGTTGTTATAGAATTTCTTGTACATTCAATGATTGGCTAGTCAGCTGTATTTATTTTCTATGGTTTGTGTATTTTCAAGCTGCTTTGATTAGCATCAGTTTATGATAATTATTTTGTGTATTAATTTATGTATTTATGATCAGAAACTCTTCTAATTAACTTGAAAAATCACTTCATAATTTAAATATGATGTTATGCATTGATTATCTGTATATTTGAGTGTAGGTTCTTAGCAGTATCAGATCTAAGTAATATTGTTACTATAATAAAGTGTAAATATTATTTAACATATATGCAGAAAAACATCTTTTGTAGCATATATTGTTGTATTTCTTTTATAATAAATAGAAAAATCAGCTTATAAAGCATCCTCATTTCATAAATCTAGCATAACTTTACCTGAGCTATGACCTGTGATAGACCTTTTTTTTTTTTCTTTTCTTTTTTTTTTTTTTTTTTTTTTTCCGAAAGAATTGTTCTGGATTTGTCTTTCTTTGGAGATGATATTTTATCAAACTATAATTTATTGAGCATATTATGTACTATATTCTTTTAGTTGTATTGAGTAGTTTGCTATCCATAAAGTTATTTAAGGTTGTATTCTCTACTTATTATTTTAATGTCATATGAATAAATTGTCATTTTAATAATGTCTCAAAGCATGAAAAGATTGAGCATTATTAATTATAAAATATATGAAATTTTCAATATTAAAAAAGGAATGAAATGTGTCTAATAAATATTCTATATTTTTTGTATTATATTTTGATGCTACTTTTCAAGATATTAATTTTTCTTTCCGCATATCAAGATCATTTGCAGAATTATAGATAATTTATTTCTTCATTACTTTTCACCATATGTGGATAATTTAAAACTGTTATTCTTGATTAAATATAAGTTTTACTATAACCCTGTATAGTGAACCCCTGGATGTATTTTCTATTAAACTAAAAGCCCATGAAATATGCCTGTAGACTAATTTATTGGGCATAGAAATGCTTATTGAGAGCATTCTTGGGCATATAAATCTAAAATTAAAATTTTGGTAGCATAAAATTTTTCAAAATTAGACATTTTTAGGTTTAAGATTAAAGATTGGTTGTACTGCTACTATATAAAACTGAGAATTTACATCTCTTTAAAATCTATACTCAGACTTTTCTTTAGCTGTTTTTAAACTGAGAATATATATCTAGAATTTTGGTTGTATGCTATTGCTTGAAACTTAGTTCCATTAAAAAATTTAATATGTAAGACAGATATATTTAAAGCAAAATAATTTTTAAAAGTATGTATGCAGAATTTTAGTTGTATATTATTGCTTGAAACTTAGTTCCATTAAAAAATTTAATATGTAAGACAAATATATTTAAAGCAAAATAATTTTTAAAAGTAACTGGTTTTATAACTACTAAATGAAGTATAATAAATTAATGTATATTTTTAAAGTCAGATAAGTTTGTTGAAAACTACTGATGTTTTACATTTCTTATAAGCACATTATTTGATTTTAAACCATTTGAAACTTACTTTTATTTATTTATTTATTTTAGCTGCAAAATCTTTAAAATAGTTTTTATTAAATGCTGGTATTTATTTCTTTCATTAACTGCTAAATGACGGTTTGTCAGTTAGGGCTTATATTTTTATTTTAAGAAGGATATACTGTGAAGAGGATATTTTATATTACTGAATGCAGATAGTAATTTTTTTATCTGAAAACTCGTATCATAAATGCATAACATAAGCCATCTGTTAATTACTCTTGGCACAGAATTTTAACATTCACTTTATCTGTTTTTCTGTGCAGTAAGAGAATATTGTAAAAAGAATCTTAACAGCATTTTATGAAACATTTGTCTTACAATGGTATAAAAATGCATAGAACAGTATTTTAATTTTTCTATAATTTTATAGGTTGTGTTGCTGAATTTTATATAAAAATGACTTTCAATAATTTAATATAAAATTGTAATGCTTCCATAATTTGCTATATTGGACTTCCCTATTTTTATTTACATTATTTAAAATATAAAGATAGGAATATGTAATTGTATTATAAATTTATATGGTAATAAAAGGCTGTACATATTTATTAAAGATTATTGTGACATGTTTGACTTAAGTGTGTTCATGCAAAGTTATTTATATATAAACTATCAATCTTTGTTAGTGATCTAAAATACTTCTTTGACATAAAATTTTCTGTGGTCAGCCATTGTTTTAATTGTTGCTGTTTTCATTTTTAATAATAGCATCATATAGTGTGAAAAAAATTGAAATTGATTGTAAAAGTTCTAAGAATACATTAAATTCATGTTTGTGCAATGTGCAATATGTACAGGTTCTTTTGGAGTGGGGGGGAGAAGGCATTTACTCCTAAATACTATTATATATATTCATTGCTCCAGTGTGAGAATCAAGTACATTCGGAAATAAAGTCTTTAAAATAATTATAATATAATCAAAATTACAAGTATTTTTCAAGTACAGTAAGTTTTCTTAGCCAGATATTTTGTAGAACACCAGTGTAAAACTTTGTTTACTCTTAAAGGTATCAGAATTCTATTTACAGTCTAGAGGAGTGATCTCGAACTCACAGCCTGCAAAGCAATTTTATACAGCCCACAGATACATTTTAATTATGTGTTTGTTATAAAGATTTTTATTGGACGTCCAAGATTACATAGTTTCATTACTATTTAAATTGAACATGAATAGCACACCAGCTTATCTCTAACTGGAATAATTTACAGTATGACGTAAGTTTTGTTCAGATATTTGAAGATGCAGATTTCTTTAACTCTTATTCATACTTTTCAAAAAATAAATAACATAAGTTATGAATTTTTGCATTAAGAATAATCGCTTTGTCCAAAAAATGTATTTATATGTGAACAGCTTTTTTTTTTTTTTTTTTTTTTTCCATGGTTGAAAATTAATGAGAATCTGAAATCCATGATGAAGATAATTTCTTTCCAAGGCTGCTTTGCTAGTTTGACTTTTATACAGTAGCTACAGACTAAAATAAGCAATTATAGAGATTTAATTAATAAATGCTGTTTAACCCGCGAGAACGCGCGTCGGGCCTGGGAGGCCCGATCGTTACAAAAACGTAATACAAACATTTTTCCCTTTGGCGAAATTTTTCGACCTTCTCAGTAGCTGCGTTTAAGGTTATGTACTTGTCATTCACAAGCATTTCCGTAATTTAACCCTTCATCTTTTCTTAGAAACTGAGTAACCGGGCTTCCCAGGCCCGAGGCCCACGCTCACATTGTCATTTAAAATTGTGGAATAGATCAGGCAGTTGCAAAAAGGTCTTGCTATTTGAATTATGACGATGAAATGAAAAGACTACAGAAACTATTAGCCGAAGTTTCGACTGATGAAGATACAACTAATGAAGAGGACGAAGAAATAGTTGGTGAAAAACAGTTTAGTGATCGCCAATCGAATTCTGAAGAGGCATTAGACTCAGTCGATGAATCTAGTAATGAATTAAGTAAAATTGTGTCCATCAGCAAATTGTTATCTTTGCAAATATAATGTGACAAAATGGAATAAAAAAAAAACCAAGACTTGCTGTGATAACTCTTGCTCACAACATCATGAGAAAAATTGCTCGGAAATGTTTGTGAAGCAAAATTTGTGTCCTACCCTATGAATTCTTGGCAACTGCTTATGGATAAAATAATAGTAAAAAATCTAGTAGATTGTGCAAACATTTATATTGAATACATTGCCGTCAAATTTGGAAGATAGAGAGATGCTCGATCCACAAATATTACAGAAATCAGAGCATTTAACGGTCTTCTTTATTTTGGAAGACTCCACAAGGCTTCTCACGTAAATGTTGTCGACCTTCGGGTGACTGACGGAACAGTGCTTGACATTTTTCATTGAACAATGTCTAATAAACGTTTTTTTATTTCTAATGAGATGTTTGAGATTTGATGACATAAGAGATCGCTTTTCTAGAAGGGAAATAAATAAACTGGCTCTGATAAGATATGCCATTGAAACATTCATTGAAAATTACAAAAACGTTTAAAGTCTTTGTGTAACGGACCGAAAATCACAAATTTGCTGCGCTATGTGCAAGAAAAATGTTTGTGATAAACACAGCACGATTATTTGCAAAAAAAATGTGAAATGTAAGTTTTATTTGAAATTATTGCTGTAAAAATTTAATATTGCATAAATTAGTACTAAATTTCATTTGCGCTAAAAAAAAATCAGTTTAACTTTTGTTGTGAATGATAAATAATTTCAGTCTTAAAATTGTTTTAAAATACAATTTTATTAGACTTATTAAATTAAAAGTATATTTTTATATTTTATACACTCTTTTTTTTATTATTTAAATGTTTTTCTTCTATTACACAAGCAATTTTATTTTTGTTTTGTTAAGAAAAACGCTTCGAGCCTACGGAGCCCAACGCGGATCCTCGTGTAGCTAACAGTAGCGCGTGTCTTCGCGGGTTAAATACCGGTCTTCGTGACGAATCTAAAATCCTGTGCCGCTCAGAGGGTTAATGATTAATTAAACATGTTAGAACTATTTTAAATAAATGTCTATCTGAAAATTTAATAATATTTAGTTATCACTATATTTGAATAACAATATGTATTCAACAAAAATGTCTGCAAGTACCAAACTAGATTTCACCCCAAAATTAATATTAATTTGGAATTTTTCCCTTTACAACATTGTTATTACTGTTTATGTATGTTTTGATAAATATTTAGTAAGTAAAATTTGTTTAAATTATTTTTTATTTTGTTAAATTTTAAAAAAAATTCTGGCCCATATGTTATATTTAGATTGGGAATTCAGTGCAATTTGATATAGAGAATTTCTGTTTATATCAAATGTAATTATCAACAGTTAAAAAGTAAAGAATGCCTTTCATATAAAGTGCCTTTTGCTGGACCTGTAATTATTACCTTACACAGTATTTTATTATATTTTTCATAATTAAATAATGAATCAGGATTTAAAAGTCATTTGCAGAACCCTTGATGAATTTATGGACCTTTCAGGTTCCATGAGCCTTAATTTAAAAATTGCTTATCCAGAAGATTTAGGAAAACATTTAAGTTAATGAGTCTGATTTCTCGGAATTTCAAGAATAAACCTTTTGCATTGATTGATTAGTATGCTAAACCTTATGGGTTTAATATGTCTGTTGTCTTTTTTTATATTTTTTTTACACAAAAAATTTACTGATGTGGGTGATTAGTTAACAAACAGTCTATTCATAGACAATATTCTTTGGCCAAATTTTTTGTTAGGCGATTTTCAATTTACCAAAGATTTTTATTGAGTTTTATTACTTTATTTTGGATACCTGAAAAAATAAATTATGTAATTTCTTATTACATATATTTGTATCTAAAATACAATAACACATATATACATAGTTGTGCATTTTCATCAGCCATCTCATGTGAGTTATTAAGGAATCTATCCAATGTTGATTGCTTTTTTCTTTTAAGAATTTTGGAAATGATTAATAGCATTGTTGTAAAGAATCCCAAGTCTATTGACCTCTGCCTAGTTTGGGTGCTATCCGAAGACCATTGTTCTGACTACAAAGATCTAATAGTAGGTATCGAAATAAGTCTGTTTTTCAGAAAAATAGGAAAAAAGCTCTTAATTTTTTTTTGGGGGGGGGGAGAGTCTTGTTCTCAGATCAGTTTCCTGTTCTATTTTGAGCTCTTCAGTGTCATCTTAATTCAGTTCCATATCCCTAGCCCCCTCCCCAAATGTCACAGTTTCATCCTTAATTTGCTGCACTTCTCCATCTTCCAGAATGCAGAATGAACTCACTAAGCAGAATTCAACTTGCTATGCCATTTTTAATGTGCTAGATGGCTTTAGGACTCCAAAATATTTTTAGCGTTAGCGTTTTTGATAATTGGCATGCTTCAAAACACATGATACAGCGCACAAGACTACAGCTTATTGAAACTTGCAGTAATCTGGTACATTGGCTGAACCAGTTAAATTGTATTTAATGACAGAAACTGAAAAGTTAGCAATGGAAAGTCTTCCAACAAATTACTTCAAAATCTTAGTGCATTGACTAGTAGCAACAACACTTTCAATGCCATTTCATTGGTCTGAAAATTATCTTTTATGCTTAAGGCAGAAACTTAAAACAGCCATTTTTTGAAAAGAATCTGCCTTACCATGATCTTTTATTTGATTTCCACTTCACTAGCAGTCTCTTTTTAACTACGGAATTTTTTTAATGTTCTGTAATTCTCAGAATGATAGATAAGAAGCAATTTAAGCTTGATATCACCACTAGCATTAACTCCCTAAAGTAATGTGAAATAGTATTTGTGCCCAGGAATAATGTAAGCATGATTTTGTATGCATTTCCAAAAAATCAGTTTCATTACAATAGAAAATTCAAGAGGTGTGTATTTAATATCCCCTTTTATTTAACTAATTCATGAAATTTAAAATGAAACTTCCCCATCTCCTATACCTGCACTAGCAGATTCACCTATCAATACTATACATACACTGGTTATCATAAATTAAGGAAAAATCACAATTACTGAAAGTTACATGTATAATTTTATGAAACTTACAATATACAACACATATTAAGGCATCAAATAACATAAAAAGAAATTACCAGACAATTATGGTAGTATAGAAATTAGCACATGTATAAAATGAACAAATCGAAGATTTCAGTTTGCTATAGTAAAAGTACCTTCTATCTGGAATATAATCGCCTCAAAAGCAATACAGCACATCAGCGTTGTGAGTTCACTCGGTTATCGTTCCAAGAACGGAGCCATGCTTGCAAAGCATTGCAGGGTTAAGAGCGGTGGGCAGTAGACCTCCTAAAGCATCCAACTGCTCGATAGATCAGTCGGGGATGAGAACTTTTTGTGAACTTTGAAATCGTGATGGACGTTTGAGTGAAACATGTAATCCTACTCTTCTGCGTTATATATATATTTTAGTTTAGTGATGTGATTGTAAATCAAATATCTTATTATCTTAGAAGCCTCTCTCTTTCTGTGAGTAGTGCATCGATGAATGAAATAAACACTCCCGATACGCCTTTGGATTAGAAAGAAGATCGACTAAAAGGTAAGCCTTTTTACCTTTTATTTTCTAAGAAATTATTATGATACACATTTTTTGGCATCCCGTACCGCGAATGAAAGCAAATTGTTGATACTTGTTGAATTATTGAATACTAAACAATGACAGAATTCATCGATACATTGAAAAGGAAACGCGGCCACATAAGGGCTGCCGTTACAAAATTAATTGGCTGAATCGAAACTGAATTATCAAAAACAGAAGTGAATGCAGAGGAACTAGAAATTTCCTTAGAACTCTTAAATGAAAAATCGATCGATCGAGTTAAAGCAAATAGATGCCGATATAGAAAAATTAATAGACATAAAGGATCTAG